GTAGTCTTTACATTGCAATGTGGCAGTGAAAATAAATGTCTGCTCTATCAAATACATGTCCAACTTTTCAACCCTTGTGAGCTGGAGGAGGCTGAATTACACTTCTCTTATATAAAGCTTCCTCTGGTTAAAATCACAATATAAATAGTAATAACTCAGCTTGTTTAAAAGTCAAGATTCCTTGCCAAATAATTCGGTTTTATTTATATAGTGCCAGATCGCAGCAACAGTCGCCTCAGGGTGTTTTACATTGTCAGGTAAAGACAATAACACCAAGGTGGCTGTTTACAACCAGTTTCCACTAAATTAGAGTATTAAAATAAAATTGTCTTCTGGGATTTTACTCTTTTATTTGAAGTTATCTCGCAGGTCAGTGACCCAAGTCTACTTTGGCCTGTTTCCAGTATTACAGGTGTGAGCTAGCAGCAAGCAGGGGCTCACTGTGGGGCTGATTACTTTTGCAGTCCTTGGTAGCTTGGTACTGCCTGGGTTAATGACACCGGTTACAAGATAAGACCCAGCCCTCTTGATAGCCAGACTTTACATCAGCAGCTCCTTTTCATTGAGAAAAGCTTATCAGTTTCCCAGGGTTGTTCCAGTCACCTGGCAGAACACACAGTTGTTTTTCATATGGAACGTATTGACAAGTCAAAGTCCACTAAAGCAGGTTGGGCTGGCCTTATAAATAGAGGGAGACTCCAAGCAGCAGCAGCAGCTGTGCTCACAAGCGCGTGAAGAGGCCATCCTGCGAGAGGATTCATTTAACTGCCCACACAATCTGTGACTCGGTTAAAATGGACAGCGCGTGTTGTTGTTCAACCAGCAGTGATAGGACTTCAAATCCTATCCTGTACAACATCCTGAGCCAAATGGATGGCAGCAGACCAAGCCAAGGCAACTTCAGCTACAATTCAGTGCGTCACAGATGCAAATGTGAGGCGCGACGGACAGTGTGCTTGAAAAGGCCGTCGGAGATTTGCAAAGAAGCTTCGGCGGTTCTGGTAAAAACCCTAAATTTCATGAAAAACTTGCCCGCCTTTAACCAGCTGCCTCCAAACGACCAGTTCGCCCTTCTGAAAAGCTCCTGGGCGCCACTCTTCATTCTGGGTCTGGCCCAAGAGCACGTGGACTTTGAGGTGATGGACATCCCCACTGATAGCATGCTGAAAAAGATCCTCCTGAACAGACCTGAGAACCCTGAGGTGGAAAGGGAGCAGCCCACTATGGCCGGTGTCAGCAAACTCGTGTCTTGCCTCAAAAAGTTTTGGAGTTTGGATTTGAGCCCCAAGGAGTACGCATACCTCAAAGGGACCACGATATTTAATCCAGGTATGTATTCGAAGTGTTCAGCTTCAGCTTTCTCTGGTCAGTTTTCAGTGGTTTAATAATGGTGTGCAATATTAAGCATTCATGTAACTTTACAGTTTTGTTTTTCCACCGACAGACGTACCAGATTTGAAGGCAGCCCTGTTTGTGGAAGGCTTGCAACAGGAAGCTCAGCAGGCCTTAAGCAAGGTGGTTCAGCTCCTCCACCCAGGGGACGGGGACCGCTTTGCTCAAATCCTCCTCACAGCCTCCGTGTTGCAGAGCATCACCCCCAGCCTCATCACTGAACTCTTCTTCCGGCCTGTGATAGGACAGGCGAACCTGCTGGAGCTGCTGGTGGACATGCTCTTCTGCAGATAGGAGCAGTGGATTTTAGAGCTTTTCCGTCTTTGTGAAATGAAGGATTGCCTGATGGTGGGTTGCTCTAAAACACATTTACTATTAAACAAAACTCAAAGAAAACAAAAACTGTGAATTGTTGAAGATGGGGTTATGAACTGCTTACACTGAAAATGATGCCGTGGTCACTGAAGCCCAGTCTGACAAGATTTCGTCCAACTGAACTGGATTTGACTTTCTACATTAGGACAGAGTACCTACTGCCCATGTATTTGCGTGATCTCATGACGGGAGCTCTCTGTTGTAAATAATTATTGTTTGCATTTACAAAACTTTTCAAATAAATCTATTTTTTTACACAAATGAAGAGTGAAATTGTGTGTCGGTCACCTGAAAAGGGAAGTTTGTAATATATGTACCAGCTGGAACATCTGGTACTAACAGTCTGGTTTGAACATTTGACCCCTGCACTCCATTGGCAGGCCCATCAGTGATATGTGCAGGACAACATGACACATTAAATTCTTGTTGTTGCCAGAGCTCTTAAAAAGCAAATACCTTGAAAATGGGAGTAAAAGGATGATTTTGGGGTGATGGGGTGGCTGTAGCTCAGGTGGCAGAGCAGAAGGTCATTTTTACCTAAATAACCTCTGCATTAAAATGTCAGGAAATGTTTTACATGTTACATTTAACATGAGTGCTTATTGATTTTAAATAAATTAACAGCTAGTAGACTTTCTTGAAAATAGGTTTAGATAACTGTATTACAGAAAAACAAATAGTATCTGAACATATTAAAATAATAGGAATAAAGAATTTTACACTGCTTTAACAAATTAAGATCTTAACGAAGCCAAAAAAATAGAAGAAAAAAAGCATTTACAAAGAATATCTCAGTTCTCTGTGTGAAAATGTCCTGTTGATAACAAAGGTCAGAGGAGAATGACCTTCGATCTGACAGGAAGGCAACAGCAAGTCAAATAATCAGTTATTACAGCCAAGCTGTGCAGAAGAGCTTTTCTGACAGCACTAAAAGCAGCAGAAGAAGAAGATGCAGAAAGACCACACTGAGTGCCACTTCTGTCTGCTAAGAACAGGAAAATAAAGCTACACCAAAGCTGGACAATAGAAAACTAGAAAATGTTGTCTGGTCTGATGGGTTTTAATTTTTGCTCCAATAATCAGGTGGTAATGTCAGAAACGACATTCAGCTTTGAGCTGAGGCTGCTGGTGGTGTGATGGTCTGGAGAATACTCTCTTGGCACACTTTGGACCCATACCAGTGAGCATCGTTTAAAAAACCACAGCTTACCCGTTGTTGCTGAGCGCAGCCATCCCTTTTTGACCACAGTATGCCCGTCTTCTGTCGGCTGCTTCCAGCAGGTTAACACACCATGTGACAAAGCTCACATCATTTCAAACGGCTTTCTTTAACATGAAAATGAGTTCACCGCAGTCAAATCCCCTCCATAGTCACCAGATCTCAATCATATTGAGCATCTTTGAGATATGGTGGAATGGGAGATTTCCATCGTGAATGTGCAGCTGACAAATGTGCAGCAACTATGTGATCTTATTATGTCAGTGTGGACCAAAATCACTGAGTTTAGATTGCTGCATGAATCTCTGGAGAGCATGAAAATGATTCTATTGGTGGGAGGAAATCAAAAAAAGGGCTTTTAGGGGATATAACACAGTTATTTATTTATTCATTATAGAATAGGTGGGGGAATGACAGCTTAGAAAGGATTTATCAGGGGTCATAAATATATCCATGTTATTATTAGTTATGTATCTTGACCTGAGGATGGAGACACTATGTTTAAATGTGGCAGCACAGTTTTATACGCAGTCTACGTAATGCTTTCTTTTTTCTCTAATGGTTCTCTGTCCCCCTCTCATGGAAAACTGTGGAAGTCACACATTTTCCCAACAGAGAGAATCATAAAAATTGAGCCTGAACTTTATTGCGTTTGCAAACCCTTATGAGTGCAAAAGCCTCACTCGGAGTGATTTTAAAGGTTCAGCACCTGAAAGCAGCCGAGGAAAAACTTAAAAGGCTAAATCAGCTGCGACGGGAAACTCTTGACTGGTTCTTGGAGATCTGCAGGCTGCATCACTTATGGAGCAAGCTCACGATTGGTCTTGTCCTGTGGTATGTTAGTTGTGAAACTGTGAGCCTTTACATGACACCTACATACAGGTAAAACAGGAATGTGCTGGTGGGGGAGTGAGCCAGAGGAAATGGGGTTACACAGGCCAAATGCAACACACACAGAAACAACTTGCCTAAAACAAAAAAGCTGTGTGTGTGGCGCTGAAGAACAGATAGTTAGGAAGTGTAATTGTCTTCATGCAAGATTTTACTGGGTTTTGAATAAAAACAAAATAGTTTCAGTAACTTTGTTTGTGCGTTTTCTCGGTGCAATTTTGGCTACCGGTTTAACCCCCCGCCCCTCGTTTTAAAGCAGTAAGTCACAGCTGGAAACAACTGTACAGGCTCCTAAAATAAACAAAAGATAATGATTATTGACAGATGCAGCTTCATCTGTTTAACCCAAATTTGAACCGCTTCAAGAAAATTAGGCTGACTTTCTGCACTGTTCCTTCGCCTTTGCCATAAATGACAAAGACAAAGCCGTGGATTTTATTTCCTTTCTGTAAGAACCAGCCAAACGAGTTCCTTCTTTTGCTGAGGGCGGAAAAAGCCTGCCTGCTGTAACACAGTGACCTCGGGGAGATGAGCCTGACAACAATAATCCCAGAGATAAAGAGGAAAAAAATAGGCTGAAGAGAGAGTGCCAGAGAAGCTCGTGATGGTAAAGACTTGTTGATATACATGAGCAAAATCATTTGCTGCCAAACAAATGGAGCTGCTTTATACACAGAGAGAGAAAGGACTTTTGAATAAACACAAGCATAAAGAGGAATGGAAGTTGTTGTTTTTTTATTATTTTGTTAAAAATATGACTTAGTAGCTAACAACATAAAATAAAATAAAAATGTGGACAAACACCACATATGGTTTTAAAAAAAAACACAAAGTAACATCGACAGAAGGGTATTTACAAAATATGGCTAATACAAATTTCAGGTAAAAAACTCACGTCTTAGGGTTGTGGGGAAATGGCAGGAGGTCGACAAGCTCATACACACATACGGCACATGCACAACAGCTAGCAAAAAAAATGAAGATAAAAACAAGAACGAGGACGGCTCTGTTCAAACGTCTGCCTCTTTCCTATGGCATCCTGTTGAGTGGAGTCACTTTTTTCATCTTTAAACACTGCACAGAAAAAATACATAAAAACCTATATCTCCTAACGTGTGTGTGTGTGTGTGTGTGTGTGTGTGTGTGTGTGTGTGTGTGTGTGTGAAATAGGGGGGGAGAGTCTCCTCAGTGGGTCTTTTGCTTGAAACATAAAGATGCTTGTAAACAGCAGGTAGTAGCTGGACCACTTAAAGGCAGAAGTACAACCACCCGGGAGAAAAGGTGCTCAACTTGGTAACAGCAGGAGGATGAAATAGCCCATGTAACTGGCTACATCTCATTGTTTTTGTTTGACTTTTAGAGAATCAGAGGAGCGCCTGAGGAGTAGGTTTCAGCGTCGTGGTGGTACGCCGAGTAGGCCGTAGTAGTGCTGGAGGAATATGCTGCAAAAAGACAAAAAGGGAAAAAAGGAAGGATTGTTTAATGCAGTGAGGTTAAAAAGCATAGCTCTAGTTTCATTTATCCTTAAGCGAAAAAACCTGGACAAACCCAGGACCCGGACACGTTCCCCGAACACAGAGTTAAAGTTGTGAAAACACGGTGTGGCGTACCCTCATTCACAGACATGTAACAGGACACCCGTCCTTTTACCAACCTCTTCACCGAACAACAAGAGAGAGAGAGAGAAAAGAGGAGCCTAGTTTACGTAATCCATCTGTAACCCAAGTTGGTGAAATTACTTAGCAGATCTGGGAACATTATGTGACATATATTTAATGTGACTTGATCTGCTCATCTAGCAGGTGGTGTAGCATTACCATGGAGCCGGAGGTCAGGCAGATAGGTAGGTGTTAGGTGAAAGAATATGCAGGGAATGGAAAAAGGGCAGGAATGCGGTGCTTTCACTGCTAGGAGAGTGGGATGTGACTGAAAGGTGGAGGAGGAGGAGGTGAGAAAACGCCTACAGCTGCACAGCTACAGCACACACACACAGAGCAGGCTGGTTATTACACCCAAATGCCCATGATGGACTGCCAAAGTCAAGCAGAATTACTTTATTTACTCCCGAGTATCTTAATTCCACACGAAACCAAAAGAAGACAGACTCATGGGAAATCCCCACACACACCACCCCCGCGCATGCACTCACTTCGCCCGCTGTAATTTCTCATCTTTCTCGCCAGCTCGTCTGATGGCGTCTGCTCCGACACTTTCACCTCTGGAACTGTAGCGAAAGGCAAAAAAACAAAGCAAAAACAAAGACAAGACAAAATGAACGCAGGCAAGAGAAAACAAACAGAGATCCAGCAAACGTTATAATTCATCCGGTCATCTCTGTTATCGTGCTTGAGTTTAGCAGACGCCGCACCTGCATCGACTTGCCTCAGATTAAGCGATTGTTATGAGGCTACTGCATGTAAAATACCTGGAGTTTTAGAGCTCGCAGCTATGAGGCAAACAAAAGAGCTTCAGCCGGTGTTCCAACAGACTCTATGAGTCATTAAGAAAAGATGGGTCAGATGATTGGTATATTTGGTATGTTGCTGCAAGGTGCTGGTGAGCAAGGTTGTCTTGTGCATTATAAATATTTACACAGCTCTAGCAAGAAAAAAAGAAAAGAAAAGATTCTTACAATCACTGCTCATGAAGGTGTTTGTCATGGTCTCGTTGCCACTGTCGGGGAGGGTCCCGTCCCTCCTGCTGTTATGATGCTGCCCGGTCGACAGGTAGCCCTTGTTCCTTTTGCCCTTCCGCGTGCTGATGCGGATGACCCCGTGCACCAGCTTGCACTCGGCCTCTTGCTCCTCCAGGTTGTAGTCCTGAGCGATGCTGTAGATGAGCTCGCTGATCTCGTTGGTCTTGCGGGAGAAGGAGGAATCAGAGGTGCACTTGGCCAGCTGGTCAATCTGATGCAGGGCGTAAAGCTCCAGCAGCTTCTTGGTGATCAGAGAGTCAATGTCTTTGTCGCTCTGCTCATCCAAGTCGTAGTCCTCGTAGGATATAAGGCTGGTGTTGCTGACCGGCCGCTGGTTATCCCCTTTACCTGATGCGCGACCCCGTTTGGGGTCAGCAACTGGGTACTTTACCTTCTGACCTGCTATGTGCACATCTGGGTAACGGAAACTGTCATTCAGGGGCAATCTGGGGGTCTTGGGCTGCTTATTATTGGGCTCCAAAGACATGCCAGGGGTTTTCATAGCTATGCCGTTAGGAGGTCGAGGGTCACCGACCGTTTTGGGGGTATGGTCTGTGGAGCTCTCGTTAACGGGGAGGCAGGGCTCCCGGGTGCCATAAAATCCACAGGTGAGAACACAACAGATAAGAGCCTTACAGCTACTCCAGCCCATAGAGGCACAGGAGCCACAGGACTGCCTGCTGCTCGGCACGCTGTCTGCCGACCCCGGAATAAATCCTATTGTCTCTGAACCCCTTCCTGTGCCGTTTCGAGGGTGGCTTCTTCCTCGACCATACCTGCCCTCTGAATAGCGGGAGTGGTCTCGTAGTTGCTCCTCATGAGGATCCTTGTAGGAGTCTTGGCTGGTCGTGCTGTCCCTGGATATAGTCCGGTTGGGTCGATGGTTGTCCGCCCTAGAGCAAGAGTTGGGGTACTTGTGGCGGGGAGCCCCTGTGCTGTGGCCAGGCATGGCTCAAAAAGCCTGGGACCTGGAGGAGGAGGAGAGGACAGATTAGTACAACCTCCATAAAACCCCCAAAACACATTGAACTAAGCTGCATTTAAAGCTGAAGCAGGAAAAACATAGCTTTCAGTAAAGTAACCTAACATGAAGCTCGGAGAGTGTAAATAAAGCTGAGTGCTCTGATTTCTATCTTAACAATAACTTTCGTCGCACCCTTGGTTTTTTTTTTCTTGCCTAATAGTGCGCGCGGAGGAGAAAAGGTGAGACCAAACCTCATTCAACATCCAACTGTTTTTCCATTTTACTTGCAAATCGTCCACTTACCGCATAAGAGGAAACACTTTTATCCCAGACAACTTGTTCAACGAGCAAAGTGCGGAAGTCTTAGAGAGAAAAAAAAAACTACGCTAACGCTCCAAACGGAGAAAACAAAACCGCCTACAGATTTTTAGGTTTGTGTACTTAAGCAAAGTTTGCAAACCCAAAACAGAGTCCGGCAGTCCGAGGGGAAAAACACAGCTCAGCTCATCGAGGTCGTTTGTCTTTCAGTGAAAAGAAGTTTACAGTCTTGCGTTGCCGAGAGTCTCCCAATGTTTGGCTATTACCTGCGGCTACAGCTAATCCCAGATCCTACACCCACCCACAGGTGAGTCGTGACGTCACACGAGGCGGATTTGAACGTGCAGGGGACGGAACCAGAGATGTGGGGAGGAAAGAGGGGGCGGGGGGTGATACGAGGGGAAACTATTGCATAGTAACGTATATGTTTGTTTGTTTGTTTTTTAAAAATTCCAAAAAAATGTGTCGGATTTCTTTCAGTTTAAAAATGTTTAAATACGCATTTCGTGAATTATTAAAGAGTTCTTAAAGAACAGGAATTTAACACTTAGAGTCCCCCGAGAGCAGCCATTTGGCTTTTCTACCTTTAAAACCCGCCTTCCAGCCAAATGGCTGGTAGGTGTTTAGCTAGGCTTTAGCTTCAGCCAAGTGGAAGCTAAATTGGCTGGTCATTCATATGTAAATTAAGTTGTTACCTGAGAATTCTGGAGGGGAGTGGGGGTGTGTGAATGAGGGGGTGGGGGAGCTGCTAAAAGCTGTGAACTTCCTTTTGTGTTCGTCTTGATGCATTCTCAATCATCCAGGGAAATAAATCTCCAAAAGTCACCAACTTGGAGTGGTTAGTTTCCTGAGCCACAAGGAAACTTGGAGTGTTTCAGTTTGCCATCTTAGGGAGAAATCAACACACATGGGTGTATTTCCTTTGTTGCTGAGATTTATTGATAAAAACAGTACAAAAAACCAACCATTTGTACACATATTTACAAATAATAATAAAAAGTGAGTGAGTACATTTCAACATTTTCAGCAATCACTCACAATCCTGGCACTGCCATGGTATCTGTAGTCTGCATTGAACAGCTTGAACATTACACATGTAGCTCAGTTTAAAGTTCATTCATTACAACAAGAAATCATTATTCAGTAAAATTTTATAACGTGCGTTATACTCTAAAGTAAATACCCTATAGACAGAAAACTCCTGTATGAGGAAGCACTTGGTGAAAGTGGAAATAAAAAACTCCCTTTTAACAGGAAGAAACGTCTGGCAGAATGAGGCTCAGGGAGGGTGGCCAGTTGGGGATGAGGGAAGGAAGACAGGATAACAGACACACTGTGGAGGAGAGCCAAAGATTCATAATAACTAATGATTAAATGCAGAGTGGTGTATAAACACATAGTGAGTAGAAAAAGCGAGTGAAGCTTGATGAAGAATATTTCATTAGCCTCCATAAAAAGTATAATGGAGAAAGGAATATGGGAACAAAATTAAAACAATAAAAATAAAAGGCAAGTTTATTTATTTAATATATGCTGCTTTACTCAAACTGAATGTGCTTAAGACTAAACATAAAAGCATAAACGCCTGTGTAGGTTTACAATGCCTTAAGGCAGAGATTCAGAGGGCATTTTGCAGAAATAAATAAAAGAAAGTCCCAGCAAAACTTCACGTGAGTGGTTTCTACAATGAAAACAGATACCTGTCTGATATTTAATGAAGTAGAAATGTTATGGGGGGGGGGAAATCATTTTCTATCTTTTGACGGTGTTTCTATCACTTTCTTTATTTGGTGTTGTAGGGCAGATTGTAGGCAACGTGTTTGTTGGCTAGAAGGCCGTAAAAGTGCAGATGATTCAGATCATTCTTAGGGATAAATCAAATGAGAGCGTCTTTGCAGCTTTCACATTTTCCAAAGCTGTCCGGTGGACCCTTGGTGGCCAGTTCTGCCCTTTAGGCTGTGTGCTTGACACCCCTGATAAACAGCCATGTGATGCAGGATAGCAGAGAATTTTTGTGTTTTAAATTGCAGCAGTGCACTTTTCTAATTTCTCTATATAAATCCTCTTTAACGTGCACATACAATGGGTAGAGAGCTCCGGCAGGGACACAGAGGTGCACAGCTGCAGAGCCAGCAGGTGTGTTTCCCGGTGATATCATTCATTCTGCCCTACTTTTTCCTTGTATAGAAACACTTAATCACCCACTCTTTGAATTGAAATAGTATGGCAATCTCACGTGGAGATATACATGAGCTTGTGTAGCAGTGCCTTCCTCACTACACTTACAATAAAACAGCACAAGAAATTAATTACATCATTTCTTTTTATTTCTAATTAATGTAAACACAGGTTTTTATATCATACCAAGACATATTCATTCAAATACAAATCGCATTATTACCGCTCCTATACAGATATAGGGCTGAGTAAATTTAAAGGTTTTGCTTTTTTTTACTGAAGAACACAGTAGAATAGACCTACCCTACCATTCACTGGTCATCTATAATTTATGTTATTTATGTTTTTCTTTATCTTCTGCTTACTGGAAAGATATTTCAGCTAATATAAAAGTAAAGAAAGCACACTGAAAAAGCTAACATCCATTTCCAAAGTAGCCTATGTGTAAGGTCCTTATAAAAATCTAGAAGAAAAACATACACTTACTAACTTACAAATACAAGAATCTAGAGTATCTACAACACAAAGGCACTTTTTTTTTAGGTTTCTAGGATGTAACTCCGATATGTACAGAATGCTCGAGACAAAATTGCAAATTTCCTCCTAAAACTATTTACAGCTACACCATAATATGTCAAATCATCAGTTAGTTTATCATAAGTTTAGAGGTGGGGAGGTTGTCAGCTGTTTGACTTGTGTTTTTGTGGGGGCAACAGAGGTGTCACTGGGCAGCTGCTGGGGCAGAGATATTCCTAACTGCCTTTGCGCCCTTCTGCTGTCTGCAGAAATGTGCCCCAGCCGAGGGTCCGAGTCAATCTCGTATCGGTAGTGATAGCCCTCCAGGACATCCCGACAAGCGTCTCTCATTTCATTGATCCACTTCTTCATACCTTTGCGATTCAGGTAGAGCACAAAGAGAAAAACCATGCCAACAAGCCCCAGAACCAGTCCCAGGAAGACATAAGAGGTCTGCAGGGTGAGATCAGCGACCTCTGCCAGGACTGGAACAACACACCCGATATCCTGGATGCTGAGCCCTCTTAGGCGGGCGTCAGTTAATGCGCCAGGTGAGGCACATCTCACAGCATCCACATCAACCTTAGCTCTCGATTTATTCAGCCACGCGACAAACTCATTGATCTCGCAGGAGCAGGTGTAGGGGTTGTTACCAAGCAGGATTCTGATGTCCCCAAGCTTGTCCAACTCCACCAGAGCATCGGTTCCGAATGTGCTGAAGGTGTTGTGCGTCAGGTCAAGCATTTCCAGGTAATTCATGCCAGAGAAGGTCCCACTGTAGACTGCCACCAAAGAGTTGTTGGTGAGGAAAAGCTGCTGCAGATTGGGAAGGTGAGAGAACATGCCCGGGGGAAGCAGCGCAAGCTTGTTCCCCGAGAGGTCGAGGCGGAGGAGCCCCGCGAGGCCCCCCCAGCGCAGAGCTGTGGTCAGGTCTGTAAGGGCAGTAAAGTTGTAGAGTGACTGGCTCAGGTTGAGCTCCTGAAGGGGACTACCAGGTATGCTGAGAGCCTCTGGATGGATGAGTGCCAGCTGGTTTCCACTGAGGTCCAGGAAGCGCAGGTTGACCAGGGAGGAGAAGGTGTGGGACGCCATCTCTGTTAACCTGAGGAGACGACTAACACTTTAACATCAGGTTTTAGACATCTGATTATATCCTCCTGCTTGGAAACAAGAAATGCTGGGAAACCTCACTGTACTATCAAGGTTAAAAAAAGAAAAACTCACAGAAACAGATCTTTATTTATTTATTTATTGTGTAAACATAAAGAAATAAACTATTCAAATACGGCTTAATACATACATGGTTGAAACTGAAAAAGAAACAAATAAAAAACACTGACATTCTCACCTGTTATTGGTTAAAATGATGTTAGTGACGTTCTCCAGCTCCGTAAACGAACTGGGTCCAATTTGGTGTATATTATTCCCTGTGATAATGACGGTCCTGGCATATCCTGGAATATTTTCTGGTGCTGTGAGCAGATCTTTAGAAACACATTTTACCGTGCGGATCACAGCGAAACACTCACAGCCAAAAGGACACTCCAAGCAGCGGCACAGAGCGCAGAAAAGAATCCCCAAAAACACAAAAACAGCAGAAAAACACATCTCTAAATAACAGCTGAAAGAGTTTAAACTACAGACGTGTATTCATAAATCAAACTTTAGCTGTTATCCTTTGTTCTCTAAAAGTGATCGGACACTGCAGAGGTGGCAAAGACTGCTCGCTCAGTCGTCGTCTGCTGCACTGTGGGAATAAAGGTTCCCGTAAAGTGATGGTAGTTCATATCACACAGAGTCTGCTGGATGAAAACGCAGTCCCCTTAAAGGTACAGAGGACGACCCACAGCCGGTCACCTTTATCCCAGTCTGCCAGGGGAGACAACAAAAGAGCTCTGCACACAGCAAATCCAAAATGCAGGTACAAAAATGGAAATATTAAACGGTTACAGACATACAATAATAAATAATACTTATTCAAGTACCAAAAACATCCAATAAAATAACATAATGCATAAACAAGTGATCAAATATTGCTCATATAACTTGGCAGGATCAAGTGTGAGGATGCACAAAAGGAAATCATACAAATCTTACTGCAAAAAAGCCAAAACAAACAAAAAAGAAGTCACTTAACATAGAAGCGTCTTATTAAGGAGGAAAATGTATCCGAGGGAGCGCAATACCCTAATTATTAACATGCGGGTTTCCATCATTCTATCTTTGGTCTAGCTGCTCATATTTCTAAGACAAATAATTGATGAATACTTCCAGCTTGAAGATTTTGCAATCCGTTTTCTATGGATTCGTCACTGAAATATATATTAGCCCGCCTGGAAACACATTCATCACTGCCGTTCATCAAAAATACATCTCTGCAACTGAAATGCATTACTCTACTGGGGTCTAATCTGGACGTCGTCTCCTTCATGATAATATTAACAAGGGGAAATAAAGCAAAAACACAAATGCAGACACTGTAGCTTGCCTTGCTAGCATAATAACCAATGAGAAATAATCAAAATATCAATAACTGAAGGACAAATTGTTCATTTCAACTGCCCCCCCCCAAAAAAAACCAAAACATTTAGCTTTGCCCTTTGATACTCTTAGAAAATGCATCACAACAGATGAAGAGGCAGTCACTCAGTTTGTGCGCAAACAAACGTTCCATCAGAACGCACCACTCACACCAATGACTGTGTATAAAGTATAACCAAAAAGCCTGAGGCAGCTCGTTCTACTGCTCGCCGCACTACTGTAGGTTAAACGTGAGGATGAAGGTGGCGAGGACTCCGCTGAGCATGACGAAGGGCAGCCAGGTCTTGAGGAAAGCAGCCCAGCTGGAGGATGGAAAAACACAGTAATTAGAGTACTTCTCAACACCTGGATGTGACAAGGACGTGAGGTGTGCCGGAGTGTCACATGGTGCAATCTAATATAGTGTCTACAGCCCCAGCTTGTGTCCTACTGTCCCTGTCCACCCAGCCGGTGTGCGGGGAGCCCCAGCGGAGGACTGACCTCCAGTTGTTACACAGAGGGGAAGCGCTGCCGTCTGTGATTAATTGCGCGACTCCCCTTCTGTTTAAAAGACTCCTGTGCCACAGGATCGTACGAGCAGAGGCAGCACAAGCTGTGACGCCAGCAATCTCTATGTGGGTCAGCAGAGAATAATGAGGGAGGATCTCTGAGCCATATGTCTCTTGATGCTTTCCAGCATCCAGCAGCGGAGCTATTTAACAGACTGTTCAGACTGTGGTGATGAAGATGCTTCAGGTGTGCTGCACAGTAATGTTCTCCTTCAGTTAAACTGTAATACTAGCACAGCTACTCGTATCACCCTTTGTAGCACCTATGTCTGAAAGAGTGAAACCTGCCATGATAGAGGGTTTAGTACACTCACAGGACACTTTATTAGGCACACCTTGGTAGTATTGGGTTGAAACCCCTTTTGCCTTCAGAGCCGCCTTAATTCGTCACAGCAAAGATTCAACAAGGTGCTGGAAACATTCCTCAGATATTTTGGTCCATGTTGATGTGACTGCACAGCTGCTGCAGATCTGTAAGCTGCACACCCGTGGTGTGACACTCCAGTTCCGCCACATCCCAAAGGTGCTCTACTGGATTAAGATCTGGTGATTGTGGAGGTCTTTTGAGCACAGTGGACTCATTGTCATGCTTAACCCTTGTATGGTGTTCGGGTCTGTGAGACCCGTGTTCAGTTTTTTTCAAAAGAAAAATTAAACAATTAATTATTTTTTCACGTGTAAATGTGTTGTGTCTTTCCACTCACTCCACTTGATTATAACTGATTTATTTATAACATTTTATATAAAAGAAAAACGAGAAGCACATTAATTCATAAATGTGATCTAACAAAGGTAAAGGGAAAAAATTAACCATGTTTGCTGTTCATATGTCTTGTAATTGGGATGAAGTAAACATCTGTTGAGTAATTTAACATAAAATTGTTTGATAGTGTTAATTTGGAAAGCCAAAACTCTAGCGGGTCCACCAGACCCATGAACACTGGCTGAGTAACAAAAATACGAACACCACACAAGGGTTAAGAAACTGGTTTGACGTGATTCTAGCTTTTAGACATGGCATGTTACCCTGCTAGTAGCAGAGGGACATACTGTGGTCCTAATAGGAGCAACAATATTCAGGTAGGCTGTGGTGTAGAAATGATGCTCAGCTGGTACTAAGAGGCAGCAGCCTGAACACTGATACCAGGCACGCTTTCATGTTGTTTACCCTAAATTCTGACCTTACTATCCAATCTCACAGTAGAAACTGAGACTCATTAGACCAGGCAACATTTTTCCAATCTTCCATTGTCCAAATTTGGTGAGCTCGTGTGAATTGGAGCATCTGTTTCCTGTTTTTAGCTGGTAGGAGTGGGACACAGTGTGATCTTCTGCTTCTTGTAGCCCATCTGCTTCATGATTTGTCATGTTGTGGGGTGGCTGTAGCTCAGGTGGCAGAGCAGGTCAGCCACTAATCAGAAGGTCGGTGGTTCGATCCCAGGCTGCATCCTGGCTGCATGCCAAATGTCCTTGGGCAAGATACTAACCCCGTGTTTGCCTACTGGTGGTGGTCAGAGGGCCCGGTGGCGCCTGTGTCCGGCAGCCTCGCCTCTGTCAGTGCGCCCCAGGGCAGCTGTGGCTACAATGTAGCTTGCTATCGCCAGTGTGTGAATGTGTGGGTGAATGACTGAATGTAGTGTAAAGCGCTTTGGGGTCCTATGGACTAGAAAAGCGCTATACAAATGCAGGCCATTTACCATTTACCATGTTGTGCATTCAGAGATGCTCTTTTGCAGACTTTGGCTGTCATGAGTTACAACGAAGGTATGTTGCCTTTATATAAACTCAAAGCGGTCCAGCCATTGTCCTCTGACTTCAAAGAACATGCCTCTTACTGGGTAGTTTCTCTTTGCTAGATTATTCTCTGTAAACGCTGTAAAGAGATGACTGTGTAGATCAGCAGTTTCTGAAATACTTAGAAGCAGCCTGTCCAGCACTAAGAACTGCACCACATTCACTTAAGTCACCTGTTTTTCCTGTCCTGAAGTACTGTTTGAACTTCAGCAGCTTGTTTTGAACAGGTGTACCTACCAAAGTAGTTGGTGAATGCATTCTACACAGTCGTAACTGACTAAATAAACTTCACAACCTAAACCAATTGGCTCAAACAAAACCAGTATGACTTGAACTTAAATTTTCCTGTTTACAATAGAGGATTTATTGCAGATAAGTACCGGTGTGGCTACTACATGTCAAGTGGTAGAGTGGGTAGGCAAAGAGCTTGTGTTAAAAGGTTTAAGTGCCCTTGACTCACACATTTGAAAGCCAGAATTGCTCCTGATGTACAAAACCAGGGAGAAAAACCAAACTGAAAGATTTGCCCAGTGAATGTGAAGCATAGCTTGAGATATAAACACTAGCAAATTAATCATTAATTTTATACAACCTGTTTCCAGAAAAGATGAGACATTGTGTAAAATATAAATAAAACTTACAATATAAATCAATCAATTTGATTCTAACTAGATGTTTCAAAGGAGGTGGGATAGGGGTATGATTCCCTCCGTGTTGCCTCATTTCTTCTTTTAGCAACACTGTGTAAGGGTTTGGGAGCTGAGGAGATCAGCTGATAACTTTTGAAAGTTTTATAGAGGATTTCACCTGTGCAACAGTTAAGGGCCCTAAAAATACACTAAATATTGTCTGCAGGGTGGCATGTTTGGACTGCAGGCAGACGAGTTTCGCAGCTGGGTTCTTTTACTGCGAAGCGATGCTGTTGCAGCATGTGCAGAGTGTCTTCTGTATTGCACAATGTTACTAAAAAACATAACCTGTATAAATATTTCAGCATTAATAATAGCTTGACAAATGTGAAAGTTAACCAAGCCAAAAGATCACGCCCGTTCGTTTTTGGTTTCCAGGTTTCCTTGGATGACTCTAAATGGTAGCATGTGGTATTAGTGGCGGGAGGGCGGGGCAGTGTTTAGCACTGTTGCTCCACCCACCAACAGGGGCCTTTCTTTGTAGAGTTCACATGTTCTCTCTGGGTACTCAGACTCCCTCCCACAGTCCGAAGACATGCATGTTGGGTTAGGCTGTAGCAGGAATGAGAGTGTGAAGAGTGATCTGTCTCTAGCCGCTCTTATCATTCATACATGTGTTTTATTCCTGCAGTGCTGGAATAAGTGGCCAAAATATTTACCTTACGTGTTTCCCGTGAGTGAGAGACAGCACACACAGGTTCACCATGTTCCAGGATGTGCTGTTGTCGTAGCGCATCAGGTTGAGGGCCATGGCAACGTGGGAATGGCAGTTATCAAAGCACAGATTGTGCTTCAACAAAAAGTAAATAAATAAGTATTTATTATTAAATCACTAATGTGCAAGGAGGGTCACTAGTGTCAAAATAAATTAATTAAATACATCATTATATAATTAATTAATGAAAACTATAATTAAATATTATTACATATTTAAAAATATATTTTAATTGTAAGTAATTAATCAAACACTTAATTCATTTTGGCACTGAAGGCCTTCCATAAACACAATCCAGAAATGTGTTAATTAATTCATAAGAGAATGCTAAATAC